CAAGCAGCTATTAAGTAGAAATGATTCATTTTTCAGGAGATTTTCAGAGGAGATTAGCTACAAGAAGATAGTCCACTTGCGTAGGAAAGTAGAAGTCAGATTGGTAAAAGATATAGAAAAAATGGTGCTCAAAGATCTGGTAGCCCACCAGCACTGTCAACATCAGATAAAAAGTACCTAAAGCTTTTATCTTTGAGAGAGAGGAGAAAATAAAGCTCCACTCTCGCTGCAGATCTGTAAAATCCACAGGTGTTTCTGTCCATCCTTCCACTGTGAGAAGACAACACTATGAGTCTGAAAGGATGCAAAACAATCTCTGGAGAGAGATTGTTGGCAAATCAAACAAAGAAGCTGCTGGTTTTCTCAGAACAAAGGACTGACCACCCCAGAATACAGACCTCAACATCATTGAATGTTTGGGATTACTTGGATTGTGAGAAGCAGAAAATGCAGCCACCCTCTAAGACTGAACTTTGGAGGTGTGAAAAAAATATTCTTGCAGATTTCTTTTAATAAAAACTGAAAGCAAGTCTTTACAAAGGAAACTGTATTAAAGGCAAAGAGTGGGCACATTAAATAATGAAAAATTGATAATTAATTTATTAAGGATTCAGTGTGATTTTCTATTAAATATTTGTTGCAAAAAATTAATAAATAAAAAAAGGTTTTATTATGACAGCAATAATAGGCCCTGCTGTATGCAGCTGAGTTTTGACCCAGTGCCTTTTCATGGATATCAGCTAATGTTGGAGCCAAGAGCTTTAGTCTCAAGCTCCTCTGACACACACGTACACGCACACATGAGGACACACAGACATACAAACTGTGCAGCCTACAAGACCTGAGGGAAATCACTGCTCTTCAGTCTCATTTTGACCAGTTTCTCCCTTGGGCTCTGCCAATAATTGAACTTCCCAATCCTGTTACGCCTTTTCCAGCCTTTCAGTCTATTTTTCCTCCTTTCAGCATCTCAGTGGTTAAAACTCAGTTACTGAGCTTTGTGCTTTTAACTTAGACCACAGTGGCTGGAGGGTCTTGTGTTTAAATCCCAGTGTGTGCAGATATATATAAAGCCCCAGAGTTTTCCCAGTTTGCACCAGGGCTGTCCTACTGGTTTAGATTAAGAACGTTAGCCATTCAGAGTAGGGGGTGTGGAAGCGGCCTAGACTGGAAGTAAAGAAGAACAGTGGTGATAACATGGTCATATATGCAAAAGTTTGAACACCCCAGGTCAAAATATATGTTTTGTTGATGTTAAATAAGTTAACACACTCTCTACAGAGAACACACTTCTGCTCATTTTAATGCACACTTACTGTTTAATGATACATGTGGTGCATAGGCAAGGATATGTGTCTGGTGCTGACATTTTTATTTATTTTATTAAAATACAACTTTTATTTTGGAAAAACTAAAGATCAGTGTTTTTACCTTTTACATTCTCTGCCCTCTATGTTCTCTTTATACTCTCTTTCATTAATTGTGGAGCAGCTGAAATTCCAAAATTACTTGTAAAACACTCTCATTACATTCAATTACATTAAAAGTTTAAGTCAGTTTGAATCAGAAATCACAGCACATTTCAGAGCCTTTCTTGTGTTGATCAGTTCAGGTGGTGACAGGTAAAAATGATATATGTAGGTTAATGTTACTTTAATATTAATATTACTATTTAAAATATTTTTTTCCGAGCCAGGCAAAAATCACGCTTCAAGCTAAGATTATAAGAAAACAAGAATTTTGTATTTTAAATGGTGTATTATATGATTCATTTACCTAATATAAACAGGGACATGAGCTAAGAAAGTAAAAAAAAGGTCAATTATGGTTTCAGGTGGACTTCTGAAACCATAGGTTTTTCTTCACCTTAATTTTTTGAGTTTTGCAATGATGTGCCATCCTACACAATCTAAACAAGTCCGTACAAAGAGTGATACAAACAGCAATACCCAGAGTGTCTGTGTGAGTGTGTACATGTTTCTCTTTGTGTTGGAGGTCGTGATAATAGCATGCGCTGTGTGTACTGCAGTAATTCTATGATATTGCCTGTCTGAGTGTATTTACCTGTGCTGTGACCTTGAAGGTGCCCCTTGATTTGCTTCTTCCGTACGAAGTTCTGTGCAGAGCAGACCTCCGCGTTTCACACGCTCCGTGATGAGAGTGTGATGAGTGTGTGTTTTCTGACCGTGCTGGGTGTGTGTGAGGTTATGTCACTGGAATGTGAGAAGCTGTGCTCTCCCACACACTTCAGAGTGATATATTACACACCGTCTGCCCTTGGACCGTACACACACACTCTCACGCTGAGCGGTGGTGAAAATCTTTACATGTAGACAAGGGGAAAGGTCACACACACTCACTCACAAAGTCATTAAACAAAAACACTCCTGTGTGTGTATGTGTGTGTCCTCTGCTTCTGACAGCTGCTCACTGTCACACTCCGTCTGCACTCACATTTAGTCAGAGAGAGAGAGCGTGAGAGTGAGGGAAAAGGAGGTGATGTAGTCTGTTGTACAGAAGCACCAAACCTCCAGCAGGTTCTCGCTCTCTCCCTCTCTCTCTCGCGCTCTCTCTCGCTCTCTCTCAGGCCCTCTCTGTTCCTTTTTCCTCATTTCTTCTCTTTCTTTCCTCTCTCCATTTCTTGTTCTCTTTCCTTTTCTTTCTCTCTATTTCTCTCTCATGCTCTTTTCTTTACCTCTTACCACAGAGTCTCTCTCCTTTCTCTCTCTCTCTTTCTCTCTCTTTTTCTGCCTTAGATGACTTTTAACCACCCATCTAAAGCGTGATTAATGACTCTAGGCTTTTGGTTTTCTTTCGTTTGGTGATGCATCGTGAGTTTGCGCCAAATGTCAAAGATTGAGCACTTCGTTTTTCCTCCTACTCCTCCTCCTTTTGCTGTGTTGCTTCATCTTGCCTTCTCTGCTGCCTACACAAACGCAGCCGGGCCTGACCCAGGCTGGTCCCAGGCCAGCTGGCCCCAGTGTCACTGGATCCTGAGGTGGGTCGAGTCCTGAGGGTCCGGGGCTTTGTGTGTGTGTGCACTGAAGCAGAACTGAACCCGGTCCACGTCTTCTCTTCTTTCGCTCTACTCTCTCCAGAGAACAGCCTGACAAAGCCTGACACTTCAGAGGAGAGAGTGAGTGAGTGAGTGAGTGTGTGAGTGAGGAAGGGAGGAAGAGAGAGGGAGAGGGAGAGGGAGAGGGAGAGGGAGAGGGAGAGGGAGGGGGAGGGCGGGGAAGATGGAGATATGTTATCTGAACTTGTCATCTTGTCTCTGCTCACCACCTCCGGACCCACTGCCTCAAACACACGAGCTGCTCGGTGAGCGGCAGTCTGTGAAAACTGCTGCAGCAGAGAAAGAGCTTGTATTTGTCCCAGTCTGGGTGATACCGGTTCATTTGACTAGGAAAGGACATGGGAAGAAAATAAAAGATATTTGCTCCTGGTGCCAGTTCATTTCGCTTCACGCCAAGTTCATCTAGGTGCACTTTAGCCCTGCAAATTCATGAACCATCAAAGTGTGAGCTGTTCAAAAACAGGGCAGGCTGTGGTTCTAAGGCACTGCTCTTCAGTCAACATAATGTCTCATGTTGCTCACAGTTGAAGTAAAACCTGATGAGCTAGCTAACCACAGCTCATCAGGACCACCCAAAATCACCTGATTTTGCCCCACCCCACACTCTTTTATTAGCACCAGAAAAAAGGTCCCTTAACTTGTAACAAACATTTCAAAGGGCAAACCTTTTTGGTGCTTTAGCCTCTCTCTATTTTTATAGTCAAGTAAGATATTTTCCCTAAAACTCTGTTATCAGATTAACTAGGCTATTTGCATGTGAAATGTTGTGACACTATGTTGAGCTGCTAGTGAGCAATGAGGGAACCCCTCAGACCCCTGAGAACAGTTCATACCTCCCCACAAAGACAGCCATGCTGAGATAAAATGGACAGTGCTGCGGCCTTTATGATATCAAAAAATTGTGCACAACAGCCACAATAAAAACATTTGTACGCAGTAAATTCACTTATATAAATGTTAACATTTATATAAACACTTATGTACATGAAAACATTTAAATGCATTAAATTCACCTGTATAAATGCTAACAAATGGATCTTTGAGGGTTCACGGTTCTTTATATAATCATTGCCCTTACTGAATAAGCCTTGAAGAAACACTTTTTAAGGGTGCAGCATAGAAAATAGTGAGGCAAAAGTTTAGTGAGAGGATTTAATGTGTTAATTTGGAATTTGACAGGGAATTAAGATTGGATAGCTGATAATTAGGTCTATTTTTCAGCTTATTTATCAGTGATCTAATGATGGTTAGCATTGTTGCTATTGTCATAGTTGTCATTTTCCTGTTCTTGGCTCAAGTTAGATTCAAAACATGGTGATGTTAGATCAGGTCAGATCAGGTCGGGTTCAGGCAAAATTGTGTTAGACAACGTTTAAGTTAGGACCACAATTTCAGGCCCTTGCGAAGATCTAAACAGAAAACCATTAAAACTACAGTAAACAGCTAGAGGCACACATTTAGAAGCAATCAGGTCTCTGTCATAGAGTGAAATACTGAAATGTGTGGGCTGGTTTTTGTTTATATGAGGCTGCACATTACTGTAGACTTTGTGACATTCTGTGTTCTACTCCAAACCCATATGCACACAAACACATTCACACACGCTTACACGCCCTTCTGTCTGTCTCCAAACACTCTCATCCATCCAGACCCTGGAGCCTGATGAATCAACTGCGTTTATGTTTCAGCCACAGTCCCTTGTGTGTGTGCAGTGGTGAGGGAGTGTGTGTCTCTGTTTATAAAGTGAATAAAGAGATGATCTCTCTTGACCGCAGTAAAGACCCCTGATTGCGTCACAGTGCGCGTATGAAAGCATGTGTTTATTTGTGATGGTGAAACATTGACTGATGTTGGAGGAAACTGGTGTGACTTTAATTCTCTGGCCTTCTTTTCTAATCTGTTTCACTCTGCCTTCTCTCTGCAGGTTTTCCTTGCCAACACAGACCCGTCAGAGGTGGTGCTGAACCGCATCCCTCAGCCTGTCCTCGCCCGCTTCGTCCGCATTAGGCCCCAGACGTGGAAGAATGGCATTGCGCTACGCTTTGAGCTCTATGGCTGCCAGATCACAGGTGAATGAAACCCAAACACAATACTAGGGGGTCCTCAGTGAAGTTTCTTGATATGTATCGTTTAATGGCCTTACACTCACATTTTATGTGTGACTAGATTAAGTGTGTTTTGATGAAAGGTGGCTTTCCTCAGTGGTAGCTGAAAAACTGGCAATGCAGTTAGTACAAATGGCTGTTAGGCTGTTTTCATATTGCATTTTAGAATAGATACAGACATTTAAACAACTCGTTATCTTTAGAAAATGTGTTTCACTGACACAAGTGGATGATGTGGATAATGTCTATTTATGATAGATGTGTAATCAGAACACAATGGGATGAACAAAATGATGATTTGATCAGTTGTAATATAGCCAGTGTGGATCCATTATCAAGGTCCCCACACATCCTGGAAAAACCCAAGAAAAACACCTGGAAAATAAGTATATTGAAAAAGTCCTGAAAATATTAAGGAAGTCCTGGAAAAGTGTAAAGTTTGGCTCTTATGCCACCACAATTGCATATTTCAGCATATTTTAACTGCTAATCCCCAGTTTAGGTGACCATATGTGTCATATCTGTTGTAGTTTGGAGTGATCCAGCATCTTATGTGGAGAGACACATGGATGCTGTGTCAGAACACCTGGTAGAATTCGTAATCAAATGATGTCACATATACAAGTCGTGGAAATTGTCCTGAAACTGTCCTGGAAAACGATTTACTAGAAAGAGTGGGAATGCTGATTATACAATATATCCATTATATTTGTTGAAAGCTAAAATATCTTTCAGATTGGGTGAGGACATCCCTACACAATATACAATCCAGTCTGCCAATGTGTAATCACAATACATTGTGTCTGTCTATAAATGCATTTGTTCTGCAAGAAGGTACCCTATTATATTGCTGGTATCAGTGCCATCCATGCTATTTGTATTTCCATTATGTAGCTCCTTTGTTATTTTAAATCATAGAACTGCTCCCAGGTCCATAACTCCAGCTGTCATGAACAGACATGCTCAGGCCATATCTGTCTGTCCAACATCTGGTATACAGTAGATGACGAATGCTGTTCCGGACCTAGGCGCTGTCCCTGTCACCCAAACTCAACACTGCATTTATCTGCTCTATTCAGGACGCGTAATTGAGTTTGGCTATTTATGGAGATGGCGAGATTAGAGGACCCTAATTCTGTTTGTTTCCCCTGCAGCAGATGAGAGGTGGGCTGTTTTTGCGCTGATGCTATCGCTGATCTCCATCACAGTAAATCATTATTGCGTTAAGCAGCGATTCGCTCCTATTTTTGTCGACAGTGAGCAGGACAAATGCGCTTTTAGGGACGGGGCCTTTTTCAACACTGACACAAATGACACATAAACATGGCACTTGCCGCCATATTAGCCCTGCTCTGGTCCTGGAGGGCCATCCCCTGCGGGCAGCCGGCCCAGAACGGCCAGCTTTCAGTGAAACAAGTAACTGCCCTCTCCTCTTTGGCTTATGGAGAACTAATGCCCACCTTGGACTGAGCTAGCTGTGCCAAGCCCATAAAGATACTCATGAAGCAGTCACTCAAAGTCCTGGCATTAGCCTCAATCAAAGTTTTATTGCTTTTTTTTGTCTTTCCATGTGTGGGTGGACCTCTGGGTGTAATACAGCGGAGATGCTCTAGGACGGATTCACTCTTTACTTTACTTGGTACCGTTTTTAAGCCACAGGGCACAATCAATCATTTATTTCTGGAAATTTCTGTGTTTCTACACCCCCATGGCTGTGGATGTGTGCAGAGAAAGAATAGCAGTGATGCAGTAGGAGTCGGCGAAGTGCAATGTTCTCTAGTTGCTTTTAAGCAGAGTCATCTCTCTTTTGGGATGATCCTCATGACACCTGGACACATAACAATCACTGATAAAAAAAAAAGCACCCCCCACACACATGCTCCCACTCACAGGCATGCACGTTTTCTGTACACACTCACGCATGCATGTTCAAAGATGCTTTTGTAGCAGCTTCTGTTTATTTATTATTTACACCTCGGGCTCCTCCTATGACATAACAGCATAAAACATTGATCCCACTAGCCTTAAACTGTCAATCCTCCTCTTCCTGCCTATCACTCACATCTTCTCCCTCTCTTCCTCTGTTCTCTGTTCAGATGCCCCGTGTTCGGAGATGCAGGGCATGCTCTCGGGCCTTCTACCAGACTCCCAGATTATGGCCTCCTCTATGCGGGACATCCACGGATCTACAGGTGCGGCCCGTCTGGTAGCCAGCCGCTCCGGATGGTTCCCCAGCCCCACGCAGCCTGTGGCTGGTGAGGAGTGGCTACAGGTGGACCTGGGCGTCCCCAAGACCGTGAGAGGCATCATCACGCAGGGCGCTCGCGGAGTGGATGGCAGCAACAGCGCCGAAAGTCGTGCCTTTGTTAGAAAGTACCGGCTAGCACATAGCATGAACGGCAAAGACTGGAGCTTCTTTCTCGACCCCAAGACTGGCCTGCCTAAGGTCAGACAGTCCTCTTCTTTTATTTTGTTGAATTGTTTCTTACTCGTGGCTTGTTTCACTGAACCAGATTGAGATATTTTATTGAAAGAGCAGATTCTATGCATTCTGTTGATACCACATTTGTGTTTGGAAGTAGGAGAGGTGATATTTTATTTGACTAAAAGTTAATGGTGTGGTCTTTTAGATTTTTCCATGTTTTTTTGTAATTATTCAATATCAAAACAGAGAGATCTTGGAAGTTCAGACTCCAGCCTGTCAATACAGAATGTAAATAGAGTGTAAATGTGATTCATTGCATATATAAACATGTACTGATAAGCAGTGCAGCTAAACAGAAGTAATAACTAGACCATTAAAGGTTAATCCCATTCTTGTCCAGAGTTATAGCATGTCCACATTAAAATAGCTAAAAAGCTTGTCTTCATTTTGAAAATACAGTCATTACTGGATCAGTTTATTAACATAATGTGAAATTTAACTGCAAGTTACCTAACAGTCTCCTGTATTCTCCATTTCTGAATCAATAGTGAGAACTAACAGTCATTTAATTCGTGTTTATTCCTCTTAGCGACTCAGCACTTCCCTTTAACCTTCGCCATCTTTTTTCACTGTCTGTTCTGAGAGCAGAATTCAATTATACTGCCGACGTTGATAACATTCCAGCGAAATCATTTACAGCTGTGTTAATTAAAACTTCCCTAACAGAACTCCCTCCTCAGGCCACTGGAGGCTCGTAAACCTGGAGAAAATCCCCACATATGTCTTTTTCTCCCTCTCCCTCTCTCTTTCTTTCTCTCTCTCTCTGCTGTGCTAAAGCATGTGTCGTCTCTTCTTTGCAGATTTTCGAAGGAAACACACACTATGACACTCCAGAGATCCGCCGCTTCGATGAGGTCGTGACCCAGTTTATCCGGGTGTATCCAGAAAGATGGTCACCTGCTGGCATCGGGATGAGGCTGGAGATACTGGGCTGTGACCTGCCAGGTTAGAGCATGCATCAGTATCTTCCTCTGTTTATAGATCTTGTCCATAGCCTCCAAATATGGCTCCTTTAGTTGCGGACAGTGAGAGGCCACATTTATGCTCTGAATTAGTCCTGAAATAGTTGTGAAGTAGGCCTCTAAGCCTTTGCCCCTGTAAGTCTGCGCTCTCCTCTCGCCGATGTCCTTCATCTCCCCTCCTCTTCCTCCTCTGCCATGCTGAATGTGGCACCTGTCGCAGTGTGATGAGCAGTGGCTAGGACAGGTATGTGCTCCCTGCGGGACTGCCCAGCCTCCATAAAGCAGAAGCCTGGGGCTGCCATCGACAGCCTGTCGCCCTGCCTCTGTGTCCGCATCACTGCCAGGAGCATGCAGGCTACGCTGTTGGGGGTGGAAGCCTGGGGCAGTGTCCAGCTTTAGCAGAGATTTATCAGTGAAGCAAAGAGAAAGATGTAGAGCTGCAGATATCATGTGGGGGATGTGGGAGGGTGGAGGCTGCTGGCATATGAAGGCAAGTAGTATCAGGGTAAGGGATTTAATATTGCCTGAATTCGTATAGTCATTGCTGTGAAATTAGCTCCCCTTCTAAATCATACTCACAAAGGGCATGTTAGAAAAATAAATAAAAATAGGTGGGAATGCAAGTAGGCCTCACTTAGAAATCAGTAACCTTAAGCAAAGGTGTTGGATCTCTTTCATTAACTTGCTTGTTTGAATCCAGCATATCTCTGAAAGGACACCTTCATAGTCATTCTCCTTAATATGCATTTGAAGCAAACATTGGATGCATCTTAGCTAAAGTTCTCACTACTCTCTACAGGGGCTTATTTGAGGACTCTAGCTAGTCCAGCAGGCTAATTGGATAGTGTGACCCAGCTACCAGTCTATTCAATTCCAAGCATAAAATTTCCTTTCATCAGGTGTTCTGGCAGAACTCAGAGCACCAAGACAAGGAAGGCAATAGTTTTTAAATCATCTGTTGCCATGGTTTTCAATGACCAACTGCCCTGCACAGCTTTAGGTATTCTCTGCCCACAGTGCTCCTGATCCAGCTCATGGAGGGGTTGATAATTAGCTGATGAGCTGGATCAGGTGTGATGGGGCAGGGAATACTTGAAACCATGAAGAGCAGTTGGTCCCAGAACTGGAATTGAACATCGCTGATCTATAAAGACTGGTTGTATAGCAGGATATGGAGTGGAACACTTTCATCAGTGCTGAATGCTCGACACGCAACACTTGCTTGATGAAATCTAAAATTAAAAGAACTTAATGAAGATCATTAATTTGGCATTAAACTTAATCAGAAGTCTTACATAACTTTATTTAAACGTTAAATGTAATCACATGTTAGAAAAGAGAACGGAGGCAGTTGAAAGCTCTTGTTCAGGGTGTGTAGTGTGTTATAGGTACAGGTGATTGTAGTGTGCAGTGTAGAGGAGAGAGAGTGTGTGAGTGAGAGATGCAGTGTAGAGTGTATAGTGTTTGTAGAAGCAGCAGAGTGACTGATTGAGTGTGTAATAAAGCCGTGCAGGGCTGTCTGTGCACCAGATGTGTGAGACACAGGGGGCTGAGCCTGAGCCTACACACCCAGCCCTAACCTCACCACACACACACACACACACACACACACACACACGCACACACTCTGATTCTCACTCCTTGTTTCACATACACATGCAAACATTCACTCTAAACATACAACATACATACAAACCCATACACTCTTTACTGACTGACCCTCCTTCACTCACATACACACACTTCTTCACCATATACATACAATTGTATGAAAGAATTGGGCACCCCTGGTCAAGTTCCATGTTTTGTTGATTTTCTAAGTGAAAAAAGTTAACACACCTCTACAAAGAGTGCATGTCCGCACATGCGTAATTACTGTTTGCTGAATTTAACATGTTGTGAGAAAGAAACATAAAATGTGGCCTGTGCAAAAGAAATGGCACATTTTATATATTTTATATTTGTTTTTGATGTTAAATTTAGCAAATAAATGGATATTTTGCACTAACATTTGTAGAAAAATGTCATATTTAAGTTTGTTCCATGAGGAGGATGCCTTAACTTATTTTCACTTAGAAAATCAACAAAACATGTAATTTGACCAGGGGTGTTCAGACTTTTGCGTACAACAGTTAAGCCTTTAAAACACTGAATATTTGCCTTGTTCAGTTACAAGCATTCACCTCTTTACTCATCCTTAAAGCGACAGTCTGGTAATAGTTCATATTTACAGTTTCCGCTTAATTTTGTTTCTGACACTGTGATAAATACTGTTGTTTATAGAGATATATCAGTATTTAAGGATATCCATATTTAGCTGATATCAGGAGAAAATGTTGGACTAGATAATCCACTCCAGTTTTAAGTTTAGCATAAAATAGCACACAGCTGCATTTTGTAAGGTGATGTTGTTAGCTGTGTATTTCTTCCTGTGGGGTAGCAAAGTGTTTGAGTAGTTTGAGTGAGATTGCCTGCTTTTTAGACAGCTCATTGTAAAGTATAGTATATTTTAAAGAAAAAGAAAAATCAGCATAGGATCGGTATCAACATTGGCCGACACTAAAGGTTTCGGTATTGGTTTTAGAAGTTAAAAAGAGGTATTGTGCCTTTTTATAGTTTTTATAAAAATCAGGCTGGCTGATATTACAGTTTGTAGCAATGCAACACACTTTTATCCATTTTTAAAGATAATAGTATGTCATACAGTGTCAAAAACCACAAAAGCAAGTCTGTTTAAGATTACTTGACAACTCTATGCTGTTTAAAGCAAGTGTGTAATGATGCAGTTTGCCGAATTCTAAGTGGTAACAGTAGCTTCCATTATTTGAGAATACGGAGAACAGAATCAAACTTTAAGTACTGGCTTCATGTTTTTATTGAAATGTCACTTTAAAAGCCTAGTTTACCAACAGAAGCTACAAAGAGCGAGCTTTAGTGCCAGAATGCCTCTTAGCACAGCAAATTCAGCACTCTTGCGTGACAGAGCCGTTGTTTTGCTGAGATTGAGCTTGCCTGAAGCAGCCAGGAAGGAAAAGAGATGAAATGGACACTAAGACGGACACGGAGTGGGACCACACTCAGTGACCACTGCTTTTATTGCTCAGCCCTTGAGCTGGGCTGGGCTGGGAGTCAGACAGAGAGGGAGAAAGAAAGAGAGAGATGTTAAATATTCAGAGGGTTACATCAGCTTCACTCCACTGAACAGCACTGTTTACCTCACACACATCTGATGCTGCATTCACAGCCTTACACTGACCCACTGGAGCTGATGCACACTGACCTGTTGTAAGTACTCTCTGCACATACACACACACACACACACACACACACACATCATCCAAACCGCTTATCGCCAGTCCATCGCAGGGCAGACAGACAGACATACATACACAATCACACACACATTCACACCTAGGGGCAATTTAGCATGTCTAATTGGCCTGACTGCATGTCTTTGGACTGTGGGAGGAAACCGGAGCTCTGCACATACACACATTTGTTAATGCATTCACACATACGCTGACCGGCCAGAACTACTTCATAAAGCCCAACACACACAAATACATGCAATTTCTGTGATCTCTGTGCAGTGGCCAGAACTGCTCACCAGTTTAAATGACCTCTCCTCTGTCAGGAAAGAAAAGTGGGAGAAGAAGGAGAGAGGGAAAGATGGAGACATAAAAGGAGGGGCAGAAATAATGAATTGATGAATAAATAAAAGGCCTCACAGCACTGGTGTGAGTGAGAGCGTGAAAGGCACACAGAAGGACTTTGGATAATTCAATCAGACCGGCCTCTCCATTATTCATTAGCGGCCTCCACGCCATGGCCCTGCCACAAGTTTCCCTCTGACAGGGGGCATGAGGAGAGAGAGAGAGAGAACAGTGACCTCTGCAGGAGCTATGTAGGCAATCTCTACAAACCAAACTCATTGTAGGTCATGTCCTTACTTTCAAAAGTTCACACATGTCGATGAAACGCTGAACTCTCCTGCTCAACCCACTTCCATTATCTCCACTGCACCAAGGCTTAACCTCTTAAACTGCTTATCAGTCTTTTAGAAATCTAAAATATATTCTTCAGTAACTATTAGAAAGTGAATTAGCCATGTTCTGCTCGCTAATGCATTATTTCATAGCAACTGTTAATAAGTCGGGAAAGAAATCTTTGAGAGACAGGAGTGTCTGTCCTTGTGTCTGAGTCTGAAAGGATGTGTAGCTGTCAAGAAGCCATTACTGACAAAAGGAAATACACAAAAAAGAAGGAAATAGCACTATAAAACTGAAACTAGACATCAGACATGTGGAGTAAAGGACTGGTAAGTGTAATTTTGTAATTAGGATCAATTTAAATTGGGATTGTGAGAAGCAGATGCAACCAACTTCTATGACTTTAGAGATGTGGAAAGATTTTCTATTAAATATGATTTTTAAGACAAATGTACTTAATATGTTTCCTGACTTTTGCACTTTAATGAATAATAATAATGACTGTACCAGATAAAAAAGTATGACTTATCACACCAATGCAAAATAAATTAATAACACACTCTAAATATATGTATTCTGACAAACACTGAGTTGTTTATCTATAGTTGTGCTACAGTTTTTTTTTTATGTTGAATGGGATTGATGCCAGTAGTCTATAAAACTTGTCCAACCTCCAGAGAATGCATTTTTGGGTACAGCATGGATAATAAACAGTGCCAGAAAGGGAGAGAGAGAGAGAAAGAGAAGGAGAGAAGTGTTTGAACCTCAGGCTCAACATGTGGAGAGTGCTGATGATTCTCACATGTGTGGATGGGTCTCTGTAACTGTCCTTCAGGGGAGCAGTGGGTGTGGTTTAGGACACGGCCTTCTTGGCTGGACAAAGGCGGGATGGAAAAACACTCTATTTCTCATTTCCCCTAGCAGGATCTAATCACTCTGACAAGAATCTCTCTGTTTCCCCTCGCTCTGTCTTTCTCTCCCTCTCCCGTTTTTT